TCACCTCAGCCTCCCAAAGGCGCGGGATTACAGGCTGAGCCACCGAGCCCGGCTAACATACAAACTCTTATTTTGTACTTGTTGCACTTAAAACTTGAGAGTACAATGTCAAAGTTACTCCACAGAGTCAAATTTTAAAGACGTACCTATTTCCAGAGCACTACTTTACAAGATCCATACATTATTTTTGGAGCAGGTCTGCCAGAGGCACTTCAGTGAATGGCTAAGAGATTTCACAAGTGCCCAAGATCTGAGTAGAAGATGCTTATTTATCTATCATCCTATAACTGGGTAAATACCAAACCACCTCTCCTCTGAAACTACTGCAGGGATTAAGGTATTAGAGCCACCTCTACTCATTAAACCACGATGCAGTTATCTTCCGGCTTGCCAGAGCAGGGAGTGGAAAGTTTTTCTCCCTGTCATCACAGCATAAGCAGATTGGAACTTCAGTCAGCCAGTGAGCTAACCAGCTACCCCATTTATGAGGCCTCTCAACTGGCTGTCTGCTAAAACTCATCACTGTTCACTGCCCTAGGGGGGCATGGACAATGGTCAGGACTAGACAGCAGGCCAAGCAGGGGATACTTTTCAGAGACCAAGTACATTCCAGATCACAGCCACTTCTTAGTATTTTGGAGGGAGCTCAGAAGCAACATTAGCCGCAAAAGAATAACACCAAGTAAAAGTCCTGGCTCTGCTATCACAAATATTACCACTGTGGGAGGAAGTGGCACTATATCATGGCTCAAAATTATTTTTTGAGTTGGAGTCTCACTCCATCGACCAGGCTGGAGTGCAGTGGCACGCTCACAGCCACCCCAGCATTGACCTGCTGGGGGCTCCGATAATCCTTCTGCCTCAGCCTTCCAAGAAGCCAGGACTACTACCACACCTGGCTAATTTTTGATTTATTGTTGAGCCAAGGTCTCACCAAGTTGCCTGGGCTGGTCTCAAACCCGTGGGCTCAGGCAATCCACTCGCCTCGGCCTCCCAAAGTGCTGGGATTACAGGCTGAGCCACCAAGCCTGGCTGGTTCAAAATTATTACAGTGATGTTCTAAAGACCAAATTCAGATTGAAAGGGGATTCAAAGTATCATAACTTGTTAAAATTAGGTTGTATAAAGGTAACAAAGTTGAAGAGAGCCTGTGAACAGATCTATTTCGAAGCAATTTCTATGGAGGGTCCAATAATATGCTTTATTCACTGAGCTTTACTGCTGATAGAGGAGAAAGGGTCAAGCCCTGAGAGCTGAGGACACGGTGACTCCAGCATGTCTTTGTGTAGGCCCTGCTTAATTAGTAAATGTGATAATTATAAAAGGAAGAAAAGATTTAAAAGACAGAATTAAGGCCAGAAATTTGAAACCACTAACCTATACCACAAGGGGGCAACGATGGAACACTAACAACCTGGAGTGGTAGGCAACTTTGGCAGACTGCACTGTTCTGTTTATTTCCTTTTTTAACACCATGCTGAGAGGGCTGTGGCCTGGGTGAGGAGAGGTGGACTAGTTGCCTCCGCCTCCCCTTCATTCTCCTACAGGGGATGGCGCCAACTCTTTTTATGCTAGCAGCATGGCTGTCAGGGGACCGAGGGCACAGGAAAGACAGCAGGAGAGAAAGCCAAGCAGCTGGACTTCTCCCCACAATGGTCAGCTGCCCCCAGCTGTCAAAGTAACATACCCAGGAGTGCCTGCCAGGCAGAGGGAATGGTGGTGGGAACCTACACCTGAAAGCTTTTGTATCACAAAGGGCACTGGCTCTCAAATCACCTGCAGGGCTTGTTAAAATAATTGCTGGGCCAGCTCGGGGACTCAACCTGTAATCCCAGCACTTTGGGAGGCCGAGGTGAGTGGACTGCCTGAGCCTACGGGTTCGAGACCTACCCAGGCAACTTGGTGAGACCTCATCTCTACAATAAATCAAAAACTCAATGAAAAACAATAATTGCTGGGCTCCAATTCAAACTTCCAATATAGAAGATCTCTAGTCAGGTCCCATAATTTGCATTTCAAACAATTTCTCAGGTGATGTCAATGCAGCTGAGCTGAGAACACTGTGAAAACCACTGCTATAGGGTATTTCTGACTGCGCCTTTCTCTTTCAACGTCATGTTCTCTTTCCTACCATCCAGCTACTGCTTTATTTCTTCTCCACCATCCCTCCCTTAGCCTTCTTTAGGAAAATTAAAGGAAAGACAGAAAATAAGAATGAACATTAAGTTAGATTTGCCTTAAGGATTCTTTTGGACAAGGATTTCAGCACTTCTAGTCTGGTTAATAGGTGTTTCAGAAGCAGAATTCCAAATATATCGGTCTTCTCCTCTTTACCTAATGGCTGGGGGGGCAGGAAAGAGTAACACAAGCTTTCTCAATAAGATTTTGCTTTGGAGTTCATAAAAATTGGGCAGAACCGGGCTCGGTGGCTCAGCCTGTAATCCCGCGCCTTTGGGAGGCTGAGGTGAGTAGACTGCCTGAACCTGCAGGTTTGAGACCCGCCTGGGCTAGCGAGACCTCATCTCTACAATAAATAAATAAATCAGCCGGGCATGGTAGCGCATGCCTGTAATTCCGGCTACTTGGAAGGCTGAGGCGGAAGGATCGCCAGAGCCCAGCAGGTCGAGGCTGCGGTGGCCAGGAGCGGTCACTGCACTCCAGTCTGGGTGACAGAGTGAGACTCCGACTCAAAAAAAAAAAAATG